CCTAATTTCAGCCAGCAGTCTACATGTATATTTTGTTGTGTTGGTCTAAGATTATCCATCCAAAAGTAGCGTGGAAGTAACACCAACTTACATGGGCCAATTCTTTCCACAAACTAGACTTGGCGAAATCTGTACACATATACATGTATGTGCATTTTCAGTTCCAATTTTATTCAGAACAACCACCTCTCAACTTGTCACTTTCTAAAATTATTCCACGGTGCACTTATTAATACTTATAGGCACAGTATTAATAAATTTTTAGCCAAAAATGACAACTTTTAAAACCAAGATACCACTGCCACAGTTCTAAAGACTGTAGGACTCTACACATGCTGACACATGTTAGGCATTTGCTCAAGATTTGTGGAAAAGTTTGCATCGTCACTTTTTTGGGAAACTGTGCAACATTGTCTTGGAGCTATGCCTGGCCGTGACCCAAGGGTCCCATAGGGCTCCACACAAGCCTCTGTGTGTTCACAAACTCCAGGGGAATATACCTGAAGCAAGGGGATGCATATTCAGTAGGTGTCACACAGGTGGCTTGGAAGATTTTGAAGCCTTGAAAGCTGAACGGCAAATTTTTTTGCTGATAATGAAGAATATGCAATGTGTCACGGTCTTGGGTTAGACCTGAGTTGTTTATGCTTATAACCCCAAGCACTCGTAAATTCAAGCCATGAGTAAAATCATCCATACCGCTCTAGGATTCCATTCACACTGCCTCAACATAATGACAGGAATTGCTGGAGAATTTTGAAGAATTGAGGCAGTGGTCACCCATCCACCAAACATATTGAAGAAGTACATGTCCTGGAGCATTTTGAAGGATTGAGGACGTCTCTGAGTTTCCCATGGAGGCATTTTGAGGATTTCAAAGGACGGACGATGCATCCTGGCCAAAAGGGCTTAGGGGGTTAAGGTTGAAAAACACCTCTTGTTACGACACCAGATATCCCTCCGTGACTTGGCATGAAGCTGTTAAGACATAATATATCGTTGGTAGATGACCTAATTTCTTTTCCTTTGGTCTATTTCCTCTGCTCAGCTGATCCGTGTGTATCCGCCCCGTGTCTCAATGGGGCAACATGTCAACTGGGGACAGGAGATGAACCCTACGTCTGCATGTGCCCTGTGGAGTTTTTCGGCCTCAACTGTCAGAACCGAGGTCGGTTTTCCCAATTTGCAATCAGCTAGTCCTAGCCAATAGGCCATGAGCGCAAGTGCTTCTGTGTTGTGTTAGTTCCTAAAAATGAAGAGCTATTCACTCTCAATTCGAGATGGATGTGTGACACATGAATCAACCAGTTAATTATTTGAAAATTCAAGTCCAACATTGACGACTGTATTGTTTGACTGTCAGATATTTGTTTATTTTTTTTTTTTTTTAGGTGCTTGTTCTGGGGTAACCTGTGCAAATGGAGGTACCTGCGTGCCCCGCGAAGACCAGCTGGCCTACACTTGTCAGTGTGCGCCCTCATACGACGGAGATTTCTGCCAGTATGCAAGTGAGTGCTAGACAAAATGACTCTCCATTCAGAATTGTCATTGAGACACTTACATGGCCTTATTTTTTTCTGCACCATAGCTCAGGCATGCAGCTTTCCCTAGGGTCGGCCTGTATCTTTTTTTTAACTCTATGTGCATTCCATTACCAAATTAGTTGGAGAACTGTACATAGTCTGGTGTCATTCGGCTTCTTTCCCGTCTACATTTTTACAAGTCTCATTAACCCTCCTATGCTGAAGTCACTCTTTGGGTCATTTGGTAAACACCTCAAAGAAGCACAGCTGTGTCGTGTTGTGCGCTGCACCAACTGTCCCTCACAGGAATATCAGATTGCACTTTTGTGCTGCCTAAGAACTGTGCTTCACTGTTTCATGTGCATAATTGTGCAGTAAACCAAATGCAGAGAAGAGGACTGCACAAAAGACCCTGGGTCATTTTGTGCTGACAACCCACTGTGTACACACTGAACCTGTGCATGTTTGAGTTCCATATAGAAACTACATGCTCACCAGTGATTGTGGGCATTTGTGCACATTTGTGCTGTAAAACCAAAGGAGGGTTAATGAGGGGCCCCTGAAGGTGTAGGGTTCCTTGTTACATGTCTATTTTTCTGCTTGTCTCGCACAGACAATTGCGAACTCAACAATTGCTGCAGTGAGGGGTCCACCTGCAGGTATATTGGACAGGGTTTCACAGAGTGCACGTGCCCCCGACGGCCTTGTTACAACTTTCTGTGAAATTGGTAAGCCCTTAAACTTAAAAGAGGCACAGACTATCCAAATTGTGCACCCTGACGGACCTATAATTTGATCTATTTATACTGATTATTTTATATCATTTGGTTCCGCTGAGCTGGGAGTTTACAAAAGCACTGCGCTAAAATACATCATATTATTAATGGATACATGTATTATTGGCAATCAATTACAGCATGATAGAGTCAGTTTTATGTTTCTACTGATATCTTCCTGAACTATACTGGTAGATATATCCTGCAACGTGAATTCCTGCCGAAATGGGGGGGACGTGCGTGCCTACCGGGGGCGGCAACCGCAGATGTGATTGTCTGGCGGTCTACTCGGGTACCGACTGCGAAATTTACACAGGTAAAGCACTGTACTTACGGACAGTTTGACCTTTTAGGTTAGTGTATTCAGCAAGTTAGCAGACAACAACCTTGATCGACCTGTGCTAGTCAAATGGAAGACACATGTATGGACTTCAGGACTTTATATGCGATGTTCATGCGTGTTCACGTTTGTGATGAAGCTTACATGAATTTGTTATTACTGGTGGACTCCGCTGTAGTATCCAGAACCCCGTAAAATTTTGGGGGGTTTTGAAGTTTTGTGATAAGAACAAACCAGCTAGCAGTATGCACCCAAGCGTATCTATAATTTCTGCCTCTCTACCATTCCAGATCCATGCACCCCGGAACGAAATCCCTGCTTGAACGGCGAGTGCAGAATTGTCCTAGACGCAACTAGGAGCAGCAGGTGCATTTGTGAGGCAGATTACCAGGGGGAGAATTGTTCCGTTTACAACGGAAGTAAGTTTTCCCTGTCCATGCTTCCAAAACTTTGCCCCCCCCATAGCTATCAGGAGTCTAGCTTGAAGACCTCCTTTATAAGGAAGCCATTTTGGATTATGTTCCCTGAAGTCATCTTATTCAGTGTAATCTGTCAAATGGGGGCAGTACCAGCCTATATGTATATTGGGTTCCATGCCTCGATCACTTAAAATATTTAGATATAACCAATCACAAATTTTAAATTGTTCATCATAGTTAATGAAATTAATCAATAATAAACCTTTATTGGCTTCCTTTAATTTTTAGTTTTAATGCCCAAAATTACAAAATTGAGCACACTTTCAATTCAGTATGGTGTGAAACCATAGTAGCCTTGAAGAATGCGGAGGAACTTGCATTTTACGGCCCCACCCCCCCAAAAGCCTCCAGTCCTTGCACTCAATACTTGTGCCTAAGAGAATCAGCCTAAATATACCATGTCTTTGCACTGTTAATAGCAGCTGGCTGTGACACAATCCAGTGTTTGAATGGCGGCGAATGCATCAATAGCGTGCAAGCTGGACCTGTATGCGTCTGTGGAGATGACTTCTCCGGACTGCGCTGCGAGACGCCGATAAGTACGTAAATGCATTCCTTCTTTTTTCTTTTTTCCTGAGTAATCAGATTCCTTGCTATCTAAATCTGCTTCAAGCTACCAAGTGGGAAAAACTCTCCTCCCTCAAAAAAGTGTGTCAGCCAGTCCTTTGCAACCAAGCCAGTGGAGAGATTATCAGATGGAAAACTTGCAGGCATTTCACACACGGCATACTAACTGGTGAACATGCTTTGGCTTCTCTGTGTAGCTAGAATCAGGTCAAGTCTAACAGGCACATGGTTGCCTTACATCCGGTCTCATCTTCACGGCAAACACAGTTGATTCAGGTTTCCAAAGGTGCAGGGCCTCAGAATTGGGTGCAGACATCCCTCGGGCTTTACACAGAATCACTTGACACTCGAGCTTGATTCCTCCACAGATCTCGCGCCAACCTTCACCGGCTGTCCCAGCGGGGTCAACCCATCCTTCCCACTGAACCAAGGCTCCAATATGGCCTTCATTGACCTGAGGATCACCGCCGTGGACCAGCACAACCGACCCCTTTCGTTGACGGTGACTGACGGTCTTCAGTTCCCGAGCACAATCACTTTCACCGAGGAATACCGGCCGGGCAAGGCCATCACGGTACTGGCTGTGGACGGTGAAGGCAGGAACAGCACGTGTTCGTTCTTGCTGCGAATCTTCGGTAAGCTATTTTTGCCCAAGAGATTGCCCATAAAGCAGTGCCTTAACAAGATGCAATTCTTGTGAAACCGTTTGAGAACACCATGCAAGATAGCACTGGGAATTCTGGAACGTTTGTACATGTAGAATCGTAAAGGAATTTACAAATTTGCTACCGCGACAGACTTTTCAGAACAATTTCTTGACTCCTTCTTCCAGAGTCTGTGAACTAAAATAGAGTGAAATTCGTTTTATTTTTATTCTAGTTACTGTTGCTAGGGGACACATGGCCCCGTAATTAATGAGGGTTTGCAGCTTCCAATCAAACCGTCGGGAGTTCAAATTCTAGCAGGTGGTTACGTGATGTGATCTTAAGCACGTCGTTTCACCCTTGCTTGCCTCTCTGACCTACCATAGGAGTAAATGGGAATTGCCGTACCCGTGAGGGCAGAGTTGGTAAATGTGTTTAGCCATTTGTACTTGAAATGGCAGCATCGGGTCAGTTTACTCTTCAGGGAGGCAAAATGGTCCGAGGAATGTTCAGATTTTTAAGCCCACTCATTTGCAAAAGACCACCTGCAATTTTAATAGGTATTTCCGTAACTGGGCTTTCATTAAATTGTCTCATTGAAGGATTACATGATTTTACAGTGGTGCATAACATCAGTGTAGTGCTATATACCCATTTGAATGAAATTTTTTGCAAAGGCAGGTCTTGTATGACATTTTGTCTGCAAGGCAGCATGGGCAAAAAAAAGCCAGTTTAAGCAATCAGAAATAGAGGGCACACTAAATATGAGACAGTTAACATTACAAAGCATGGCAATGTAGTCAAATAGCTGTGTATTATTAACCAAGATGCTGAGGTTACACATTGAAAATAAACACACGGAAGTTGCCATGATCATTGGTTTAAGTTTGGTTTTTCTTCAGGTTAATGCATTTTGTATGTGTGGTCCTAAACTTTTGCAAATGACTGTATTGTACATGTACACACGCATGTATCCTTACCAGGAACACGAACCTCACAAACCTAAAACGTCAGATTACAAACTTCTTATAACAGATAACGAGAGTCCCTCAGTTGAATGTCCAGGCGAAGTCTCGGCTATCACAACCGAAGATTCCGTCACCGTCGTCTTCCCTACAGCCACAGCGACGGACAACCTTGGAATAACCGAGCCTCTGCAGTATACCCCGGCCAACGGCTCCCAGTTTGCCGTCGGTGCCAACACGGTCTTGGCCAAAGCGCTCGACACCTTTGACAACCAGGGGGAGTGCAGCTTCAAGGTCGTCGTACATAAGAAGGGTGAGTGTGCTCGTGCCTGGCTTTTACGAACTGAATGTTGGGACAGCAGGAACAAAGGTGTCATGAGGCAGTTTTACCCTTGAAGGTGCCGAGTTTTGTGGACCATCTCACAGCTCATAGGAGGGTAGGGGAACTCAGCCGTTTGATACTGGACATGCGTGTGATAAAAGACACTCGTTATAAGTACATCTGTGAAGTTCAAATTCAATCTATCATAGGGTTTTGTTGTATGGGCCACTTGAAGTCCACAGCTTTACACACACTGTCGGCCCAGTGTTCATTGAGCACATCAGCTGGAAAAGTTGACAGTTTGGCCTAAGTTTTCGAAGCAATGGTGTGTTTGCTTTTCACAAAACTGGTGTCAAAATGATCGCAAGACATCACTGAAACAACTCCTAAATGCAAAACACAGGTAAAACAATGCACTGCAACATCTTTAAGGTAATGTCCCGGGGTTGGGGGGTGTCACTCCCAGTAGTTCCAAAGTCATCTGGCCGTCATTTTGTACGTCTGGAGTAAAAGATTTCAATTGACCTCAGGTGTTGTTTTGAGGGAAACAGGAAACTATTAACAATGCTCGTATTGTCCTGCTAAAGCCTCCCTAAATCAGCTGACAGGATTTTGAGCAAGTGAGGGACAGTGTTAACGGTTTATTAAAGAGATGTAAACATCAGTTTGTCTCCTGCCGACTTGAAGGGTGGAGGGTCATTTTGAACAAAAATAGACATGTAATTGTTTGTCGAAATGAAATTTTCTGTGTAGATTCTGACTGCACGGCATCCACCAGCCCAGACAACGGAGCGTCGGAATGTGTTGTTGACGGAGAGCGTCGGACCTGTGCCGTCAGCTGCAACGAAGGCTTCGGCAATGCCGTGGGCATCGAGCAATACACGTGCAGATATGAGAACCCTGCGTACTGGGAGCCCAGGCCGAACACAGACATATGTGTCCGTGAGTACATCTCGTCAAAGTTTGAGTGTGCTCTTGTCTTTTAAAGTGCCTGTCCAACTATCTTGGTTGATTTTGATATAAACAGTGGCATGCAGCTTGCTAGGAATGTGCGGTTATGTGTGGCCTTTGATTTGTCTTGTTTACAGCATTCAAACCTGGAAATGGTATCAGCAAAGTGGTGTCCATTCGCTTCAGCATTGAGTCCACTTTGTGCGATGCGGTGGACTTTATGAGCTCTGTTGTAGACAGCCTGACCAGCTCACTGCAAGCACAAGGTGTCTGCGATCCAAATGACTCTTCCATGTCATGTGGCATCGTGGCAGCCTGCGGCAACGGCGGCAGCAGCAGCCGCCGTAGGAGGGCCAATACCGACTTGGACGCCGAGGTGGAGCTCACAAGCCTGGCCTCGGAGGGGGACACCAACACAGACGTCCTGGCCAGGCTTGACCAGACCGTGGACATCGTGCAGGCGGCGGCCGTGACTGGCTCCCTGACCGTCGAAGTGGACGGCACAACTTTCACCAACGAGCCCACTGCATATGGGGAGTCTGATGCCCGCTGGAATTGCAAACCCGGCCAGATTATTAAATCGAGTGGATGCTGTAAGTAGTCTGGAAACAAATAAAATGTCAACTGAGTTGTGCTCATTCTGCTGAAAGTTCCTTACTTCCCAAAGATAAATCCAGTTGGGTTTTTTTTTGGGGGGGGGGACTGGGATACAGTTTTGAGGATGCGCCTTGATATATGGGCTGGAAGCACAACCCGCGTGGCCAAGGGTTCCAAACATGCTCAATGGCTGCCGAAAATCTTAGATTCCAGAAGTCTTTAAGTCAAAACTGCAGTCCTTCGAAACAGGGGGCATCATTCACTTAACGTGTGTTGCCCTGTCACCATGCACCTGCACTGTACATCCATGCTGAGATTATGCACGAGAACCACTGAAGAAATTTTAAAGGCTTTGGGGGGCAAATTACTAAACAGGGTTTTCATTTTTATTTTCAGTGGGCGGGGATTATTTGCTAATTTGGAAGGGGTGGGATAGATGCATCCCTCTAAATGTATCTTTGTTTCTTACTGAAGAGAAAGCTTTGCATCAACGCATAGTGAGGCCCAATTGCATGGAGACGCCTGATTGGAACAATTTTTTAAAGCGGGAAATTTCTCAATATTGACAAGTAAGGCATTTGAAATATTCTTTTGTCCAGTGTCCTGTCCGCCTGGTACCTTCCACAATACCGCCAGCAACACCTGCAGCTCCTGCCCAGCCAATACCTACCAGAACAAACCTGAGCAGGAGAGCTGCACCCCTTGTCCCGAGGGCAGTGAAACGCAGCAAACCGGCGCCTTCAGCGCTGAACACTGTAAGTCCGACAGCATCACCTCTCACAGACAGTTGTTACAAAGTCCAGCGTGCAATGCTTTTCAAAATGGGCTCGTAGAATCTTTGTAGAAAGTCTGGTATCGTTTGGACCTTTACTCTAAAACAAACTGAACAGTGTTCAGTTTGTTCAGATTGATGGATGTCAGACACTGAGATAAGTGTTCCAATGTGTCACAAGCACTCATGTCAAAGCCACTGTCCCCAATGTGTTAGTCTACATACACTACAGTGTATGCCATTTGGAGTTGTCTGGAAAATGTGTCTATCTTTTTGTTTTACTCTCTACAAGTCAAGAAAAAAATGTTATGTTCACGTTATAACCTGTCCAAGAAAGTTTGACTCTGTAACGTAATTATAATCCATGAAGACTTAATGTGTGGAATGGGGTTCTAAACACACATGCACCTTTAGTGTTGGTAAGCGTTGCATGTTTGAAGTGGCTTGCCACTTTCCTCAATGCTGGATTTGGTCTGGCGGTCTCAGCTGTCCCCCGGTCTCAGCGGTCCCCCTCACCAAATATGGTAAAATACGCCAACTCTGCACACAACAACGGGAAAGTCGTCCATTTAATGTCCCGCTATTCAGGGGTGATGGCTGAGACTTTTAAATGTAAGTCTGAAGTCATTCTAATGCTCTGTTGGTATTTTGTACTCTCTGAAAAGTTACCGGTAGGTGAACCTTGTTTTAAAAAAAAAATTCGCACTGTCCCTGTGCCACCTTTGAAAGATAACAATTGCATCATGTACCTGTGCCATATATTGGATGTTTTGAATCACAGGTGTAAAGACAGGCAAAGAGCCCGTGGTTGGCCCCTGGACGCCGACCTTGATCGGCATCGTGGCTGGAGCAGGTGGTCTCATCGTCCTCTTACTGGTCATCCTTGCCTGCGTGTATGTCGTCAGGTCCTCCCGCCACCGCTCGAACAATTCGCAACAGGACAAGAACGGGTCCCTATCCAACTTCACTCACCTCAACAAGGCCTACGACGAAACGGACGAGCCCGAGATGCAGTTCCACGGTGGGGTGTCACTCTCCAGTGACACCACCTACCAGAACGTGGTGGACGATGACGTGCTGGACACGGGCAGCACTGACCACCTGGTGCGCATCCCCAGCCTGTCCCAGTACAGCGACTACTATGCCACGCTTAATGCCCGCTCGGCTCCCGTGCCCGACACGCCACCGCCGCCCCCTCCAGTTGCGGCTCCTGCCCCTCCGCAGGTCAACGGGGGGCCTCCCTCACCCCCTCCTCCTCCCCCGGGGCCCGACCTCAACGCCAACAATTCCAACGCAGGTGCTGATCACACCTACCAGAACGGCGACGTTGCAAATGTGGGTGGCAAGGCCAAGTTCCAAGTTTGATCCGAAATTAGCTCCGCCTTCCACCAGATCACTTGCATAACAGAGTTGCTGAAGGGAGCCAAGTTAACAGCAAACAAGGTCAGTGAATGGGTGTCGCTGGAAAATAAGTGTCTCGTCAAATGATGTAGGTCTTATTTCCAAGCCAAGGAAGATACCGGTCATTATACCGACACAGGGTAACCATTGATAGATATTTCAGAAGTTGCATCACAGTGCTCCCTTTCACAAAGAACATCGAGCCTTACTCTCTAGTCTACTCTCTAGATGTCACACACTTCGTGTTACACTTACTGTACCAAACGTCTTATGTTTAACAATATGTTTGCTTGTCTAAGTTTGCAGTTATAGTCTGCCAATGAATATCTTTGTAGCCACCGTTCGCATGTATTGAGTCAGAGAGAGGTGCTCTTGCAGATTTTAAAGCAGTTTGCAAAGTTTAAAAACTGAATCTGTCTTTGTAAAATTTGATACAAACTTTGTAAGATAATTTACAACAACACGTATGCCTTTTTTAGTCCTTTCTTTCTCTTTGAATAATGTTTGACCTTATTGGCTGGCCAGTAAGATATATGTAGTCTCAGTGAATGAAATCTATAATTTAGGTGTGATGATAGGATGTTTATGGCCAGTTAATGTTCCTTTTTTTTTTTAACATCAGTTGTCATGTTTGTGAAATTCGCATTTCAAACGAGCCCAGGGTTTATTTCACATGGCCTAACTGCAAACCGGCCGCCTATTTCCTCTGCGCAGTGTGGTAACAAACCATTTTTTTTTTTTATCGCAAGTACATTTTTGTACTCTGTGATTGCCAACAGTCTGACTACGGAGGATCCGCTGTCGGCAAATAGACTCAAAATACCATAGCCGGTACTCATTCTACATCGGTGATTTTTGGACGTTAATGTTCGTCTGCAGCTGTTCTTTGAAAAGTTTGTTTTCTGAATAGTGGCTGTGTTGAAATCTACAAAGGTTGTGGGTGATAAAACTTCATCTAGGGATCTACATGTATCAACGTATGCTTTGTGCTTATCTGGGTACGCGGTAGTCATCATGGTCCAAATCTGTAACTTGGTGTTTTTTGGAACAGTTCGTCTCTTCAATGAATCTCCATTTTTAATCAGAGCGCTGGAGGTCTGCCAGTGGAAAAGTCAGTCGGAGATGCAAAGACAAGGGTCGACTTACATCAGGATGTCGTGTTCATGTTTGAAAACCCAAAATTTGCAATATCACAGTAGTCATTTTATGCAATGAAGCCGATTGTATATTTTTGTACTTTGGTATGCATATATACAGTGTACATGTATACTGTGTAAGATGTTCTTCAGAAAATGTTTGAATCTGAATAACATAATCTGAATTTTTACAAAGAGTTACCGAGATATGCTTTGAAGAACTGAGGTCAAACAAATTATTGGCATCGTCTGTGCTTTGCTTGTTATTTCAGTGAAACCATTTTTATTTAAATTGTATTGCTGTCTGTTGCAGTACATTCCAAAACCTGCCAATGGGGACTTCTTTTTACGTCAGCGGGAAAAGATTTTTCATGAGTTGTCGCACAAGGAGAAAAATATATTCACACCTAGTAAAATATATGAGTGTGATCATAGTGAATTTGAAGTGTTGACTTTTAATTGCAATACTGTGCACTGTATGTACGTGACTTCATGGAAACCAAAATGTGATGTTCTCTTCTGTAGTATATATGGCCAGTGTATCACTTCAAGTTGAGAAAAGGTGCATTCAAGTCTGCATAAGCTTTAAATCTTGGCACAAGATTCCACTGTTTGCTGTTTAATGCAAAGGTGCCATCTGCAGTTTATACGGGTGTGGCGTGACAGTTATTCAGAGCTTTTGCCATGAATGTGACATTCTTGTACCAGTTTGCATGTCTTTTTTGTATGAAACACAGATGTGTGTGTTTGAAGGGACAGTCTTGAAACATCGTGGATTTATTATTTTTTCAGGTAAAGGTGGTTCAATGCAATCACATACACAAGTCATGTTTTGTGAATTTTATGTAAACTGAAGTTATACTTTGCACATCATTCTATTAATTAACAGTTTAACAGTAAATCTGTTCTTACAGATGTTTATTTAATTCAATCATTGCGGTATCATGTTTATAATGTGAGAGGATGATATTTGTTTGTTGCAGGTTTTAAAGTTCAAGCATTTTATATGGTGTATTAGAGAATCAGTTTATTGGATTAGTAAGACGATTACGTAGACCACTTGCAGGTTTTAAGGCGCAATGCAAAAGTGTCAGTGTACATGTAAATACATTTTATAGTTGGGCAATTTGGTTAAAGAATATTTGCCGATGCCTATAAGCCTGTATGTCATTGTATTCAACACTTGAATTTATAACGAATTATGTGAATACTTCCCAATAAAAATATTATTCTGAAATTACATTGCACTCTTGTAATTTCTTGTATGTCCGAAGAGCGGATCGGGGGGCAGGGGTTAAAAAACCTGCTCTGAGGGGAAAAAGGTTAAATTAATTGGGAAATAAAAAGAACTAAAGTAAATTTAAAAACAAGATCCCCGCCGAATCTTATGTGTGCTAGGTGATGAGTACACCTATGTACCGGTACGTGTCATGTAATGTTTCATCCTCGTTTCTGCTTGTCCGCAAAAATGAGACAAACAAATAATCAAGCCTACTGCAGCCCCCCCCCACCAATATTCCTGGATCCGCCCCGATGTCCAAAATCTATTTGTGGAATGCAGGAATAATATTAAACACTTTGTACTTCAAACAGCCTAAATGTCTAACACATCTGTGTTCTGTTGATAAGCATACATTCTTGAAAATGAAGCAAACTGACATACAAGTTTCAAACATTTTTAAAAGAAAAGACTTCAGGAACTCTAAACGAATAATTAAGCGAGAGGGAAAAGAGGAGGCAAGGAATAAGGCGTCGGGGACCGAGGAGGCTTCAAACAATATGGCTACATGCTCTGTTTGGCAAGCACATGGGTTTATCCACTGCGGACACAGGGCAAGGGTCCGGTCCCCCTCGTTTTCTCTGTTTTCTTCGAATTCTGCATGTTAACATTCAGAATTCCCAACTTGGCATGAACAGAAAAAAGTCCTTTTTAGCTTGTTATAGTTGAGCTCTGAAAACAAAATACACTTCATTTGATTTGGTTGTTTCTATATTAACTTGAACATAAAAAAAAATCAGAGAAAACATGTTTTCCTGAGCGGTATGATGGCCAACAAGTCTACGTCATCCGTAATCAGCAGGAATCACTGAATTTTAGAGCATTTTTGGAAA